TAAGTGGGAGAGAATTAAGCTGTCCAAAGAGGTTTACTGAATTTACATATTTGAATCCCTTCTTCGTCATATTTTCAGACTTTCTCAATGCATTAAGATTCCTTTACAAACTATAAACATACACTGATTATGATGTTTTGGAAGAAGTCCCAGAGCTTGAAGAGAACTGCTCTATTATCTGATAAAAATCTTTCCTTCGGAACACCGGAGTTTTTCTCATGAGGCAGCACACTGAGGACATTTTGAAGACCATCTATTCCTCAAGTGTTTTAGGTACATGAGACCACAAACATGTTTGGAAATTGTGAGTTACACTGGCACTTTAAAATCTTTTCAAGCAAGTTCTGTTGTCTAAAGACCAGTATTTCATACCTCACTGGCTGGTTTATTAGCCACATTTCCTCCTAGGTGGAAGGTGCTGAGAGATGCTCCTTTAAACACCTGCAAGCTAAAATACTGCCAGTAGTCTGAAATACCAGAACAAGTGTCCAGTAGTCTGAAATAGCAAAATGAGTGCTGCATAAGAGAACACCACCTGTGTCTGTATCACCCTGGCAAAAACTGTGGCATTTTAGCATAGAGCCCCCCTCCAAAGCAGCCAAGTTCTGCTGGGAAAGCTGAAATGATGGGGAGAGCCATCTTACTTGGCACTACTGCCATGGAACAGGAACCTTAGCTGTGGTAAAAATTAAGGAATTCAAAATAAAAAACTATGTCTGCATTTTTTCTTGCTATTTTCTTTTTTTCCCAAGTGATGTGAGATAGAAAACTGTTTCTGAAGCTGTGCTCTGGGCATATCTTCTTGTTCTGAATCCACATAGTGGCTGCAAGGGCTCAGTAGCTTCCAGAAACTTCTGTTCAAAATTTGAACACTTTGAGGCTTGGAATGGCCTGTGGCATAAGTTAACTATTCTGTGCAAAATGTACGAATTTGAAAAATAATAATAATAATTTTAAAAGTGAAAGAAAGAAAGACCTTGCTTTAAAATCATGCCGATAACATCCCAATGGCATAAATATTGCAGCTTTGTCACTTCCATCCTCAATTACTCAGGAATGAGAAACTACTTTGTGCAAACAACTTAGCAAGGTCTCTGCTATATCACTTCATAAAATATGTTACATTGAATTCTTCTCAGATCCACTATCAGTATACAATCAATGCTAAAGTGTAGTAGGCAAAGAATACTAAGCTGACATCAGGCACAGTAAACATTTTACATTTATATCAAGTAAATCTTACCACTCCCTGTGGTTTGATTTCAATACAAATTAATCATATTTATTTCAAACTCCTCCTTTTTGACTTCCCTTCAGCTTCCACGCTCTGACCCACTCCAACCAGACCTCACAGCTTTTTCTTCTATACAACACTTCCCATGGTACCTAGAGCAATAAATGCTTACATAATTTAGATTTGTCACTGAGCCAGAGAAACAGCCATAGTATCCCCCTTAGACACCCACACCACCACTTACAAACAGGCTAGACATCAAAAAACCCAATTTCCAGAAATAAAAATATCATTTACTCCAGTTGAAAACTTTTTCATTAATATAAGGCATAACCATTTTTCAAAGTTTCAGATGCACTTAAAGGTTACATGCTACACTGATTCTTCATAAAAAGGCAGACACCTTAACACCTGACAGTATTGCTACATCACAGCACACAAGGCACAATAAATAACCTTAAACCAACTATGCAACTAGTCAGTGCATAGAGAGGAAACACTTTCTTTAAAATATCTTCTTACATATAAGAATGCTTCTGGGTTGCTTATTAGCAAGCAGTAATGTGGTCTTATTGGAACTAATAATGACTAAAATAGTGACCAGATACAGTTCTGCTTTCAGACGGGGAAGAAGTGACATAAAGACACAAATTCCATCCAAGAGAAAAAGAAAGTTACACAGAATCTTATACTTGTAAATTTATTCCTGATTGCTCTGACTAAGAACAATCTGAGTTCTTCTCTGAAGCTGGGCATCAACCCATACCTGCAAGCTCCATACAGCTTCCCTTTTAATAGTTACAGAGTAAAAATAAATAGATATCTTAAAAAGATTACTTGATCCTGCAGGCTTACCAAGGCTTAGCATTTGTTAAGATCCATTAGCCTACTATCATATTTTTTAATTTCTATAAATCTGAAAGGTAAATTACAGAAATACGTAAGCACTCTGATGCTCAGTCATAAATTACTAGAACTTTTAAGAGAGAAAGGGAAATGACACTTTCAGTATGGAGAAGCCAGATTATCACTGCTCCCTGAGAAGAAAAAAAGGGATCATGACCTAGTGATATTTTAAGAAACTGTTATAGTTGGTGCTTTAGAAGTACTGAAGATGAAATATCTAAACAAAGGATTTGTCTGAGGGAGGAAAGTAAATAACTAAGCAAATAAATAAATGCAATGACTTTGCCAGCTTGTGCTCCTTATCCCCCAGAATAAGACTCTAACCCGTCTGTCAACCCACCACCACTTCATACCCTCCTCCCTCTGCAGCCTCTCTTTGTACCAGTTTTTAGCCAGAATAGTCAACAAGTGCTATACTACACTGGTTACTTAAGTAAACAAATGAGGCATAAAAGGAACCTCAAATTTGGCAGTGCAAGCAGAAGTGAAAAACAGATGCTCAAGATGAGCTGACGATACAGAGCAATATCAAGAACATCAGAAATATGGAAGTGCAAACGAAACTTTAGAAAGAAAGAAAAGGAAATCCCAGTACAAACCACTAATCTATTTACTGAAAATGCACTTTAGAAACAGGAGATTTTAAATTCTACAAAACCTTAGAAAAGGAAATTTTACAAGCAAACACACTCAAAAATTGGCAAGTAATTAACTAGAATAGTACAATGAACTTTTTATTACTTTTGATAATTAGGGTTTCACAAATAAGATAGTAACTGTCCCATGGTCACTAAGTGGTGAGGAAGGAATCAGGATGAAGAAAAGCAAAGGAGAAGATAAAAGAGAACAAGACTTCAGGTGGATGATCTCAGTACGTAAGGACACACTCAGACAATAGCACATATATATGTTTACACACAGAGCCATGCAAGGAGAGGGCAAGTCTGGCTATGATGACAGAGGATGAGCAAAGAAAACAAATTATTTTGTGACGACTGTTTGCATAGTGAAACAAATATCCAGCTCATCTGTTAATTCAAAAATAGTCATTTAAAAATAACCAATGACACCCATAATCTATTGTGAGTGTTCTACATTTTGAAGCATAAATAAAAATAAAATCCAATAAAACACTAATCAGAAATGAGGCATATTAGTGCTGTAATATATGCAGGCTTCAGTGGCTTAGCACTTCCTAAGCCTGGATGACAGCATATTTGTTTACTCACAGTATTATGGAAGAGTCATCTATTGAAGGTCAAACCTGGGCAGATGTGAAAGGATTCAAAACACATAACCAAGAACCCAGCATTTAATCTAAGTTTTTCTGCCACAGCAAAGGAAATTATCTCGGCAGAGATCCTCTTCCACTTTTGTGCCAGAGAAGAAATTAATCCCTTTTGCATTAACACCTTGCAGTGTTTGCAGCTGACATTTGCAGTGTACCATAGCTGTTGTGGTGAGAAACTGGGAACAAAACTATAAAGATCTACCACATAATTTGAACTATATGCAAAAAAATTTTGATATATTTAGTAATTAAGCAAAGATTTAGATCAGGGCTATAAAAAGACAAAGTTTTAGCCTGAGTACCTTAAATATGTTAACATATACTATGTAGAGCAAGGTGCTGTTGTGTTGCAATTACAAACATATGCTAGGGTTTTGTATTCAGAAATCTTTCTACCTGCTCAAAAACAAATAACCAACACACCTCGAGCTGTTGTACTCCTGAACTTGTGCAGAACTCATTAAAAAGCATGTGGAGAGAAAATTATTAGAATGCATGTAAGTAACCAGTCAAGGTCCACACATCATCACCAGGCAGCAGTTAATCAGCCCCCTCAATAATGAGAAAGTTCAGGAGGTGCTAACTCCCTCCTGCTCACGCACACAGACCTGCTGTTTGACTTCCAACTCACTACTGTTTGACAGGAAACCAGAAGAAAAGCCTGTCTGAACTGACGTGTCATGGGTTTCTGTATGACTGAGCAGTTTATGTCCCACTGTGGGGAAAAGGTGTACTCATAAATACAGATCAGAGAACAGAGCAAGATGCTGACTGTCAAAGAGGGAATCACGCAAAAATCTCGGAATATAAAACTAGCACATTGACATGTGAAATTATTCTTGATTCACTTTCTTGTGATGAGTTGTACTGGGGTTTATTTGCAGGATGAAAAAAGCTGATGTGTCCTTACAAACACACCCACAGGTGTAAATTTCAAATTTTCAATTTCCAGGCAGTGAAAAGAAAGGATTTTTTTACTGGCACAGTATCACTGCTAGCAGTCCTGAGATGGACTAAGGTATTGCTGACATCTGTCTGGAGTCAGATACTGGAGGCAAGAACGACTTCAGGAAACACGTATCTCCTACAGCAGACAGCTGCCTTCAAACCACAACTGCCCAAAGCAAAATCACTCCTTGGGAGAGCGTACAAAACAGTGAGTCACTTGTAGCAGGTATTAATCTTGTTTCTTGATGTGAAGGACATGCTGATACTACAGTTGAGAAAAGGTAAAAGGAACAGTACAAAGTGGCTAGAAAACTTAAACCATTCAGAGTAGCACATGGCCTAGTGTGCTTGCCCTACATAAAACAACACTAAAAGCAATTAAGGACTTCAGGAAGTGATGAGCAACACACTAACTGACAAAAACACAGCCAGTTCTGAGGTAAATAAATATATTTCTATATGTATTCTGTGTGTACTACATATATCCACTCAAATTTCCCAATTTAAACTGTAGAACCAGAAAGACAAAAGCTGTGCAGCAATTGTAATAGTTCTGTGGTAAAGAGGGATGCAAAATAATTTTTTTCATGAGTTCTAGTCACTAAAAAGCAGTTGTTTTACCTCTTGATATTAAGCAATGCCCACGGTATCCCAGTGGGAGTGTTGAAAGCAGGTAGCAATTTCTCTCCAAGCTCCACTGCCTTTTTTCGGAAAACCTGGAAGTTAAGAAGAAATCAAGTGTTGGAAAAATGCATTATTGTTCCAATGAAATTAATTTAGATAATACCATTATTGAGCATATGGTACGAGCCATCTCAGCACAACGAAGCGTCCCTGCTCTTTCAGAATGACGTCAAAGGAACTAAGCAGCACAACCTGTTTTCCATTACATCTGGTAACAAGAGAACTCACACAGCAGGATCAGGCAGTGACAATGCCCAGATGACCTGTCTCTGGCATCATCAAGCCAGAGTCATCAGCACAGCCAGATCCACTCTGGTTATCACATCACACAGAGCAGTTCGTGCACTCCTGGTTGCCCCTGCCAGGTGCCCTGGGCTCAGGGAAGTGACACCTTGTCCTGGAGCAGAGGGGACTCAGCTGCACAACAGCTGCCTCTGAGCTCTGTGAGGTTTATCAGCGGCAGCTCAGCCTGCGGTGAGAGCCTGGGCTGCACTGCCACGTACCTGCTGTACTGAAAATCTGCTGCATGGGCAATCTGTGACAAAAACACCCCCCACCCCCACTGAAAATAATTAATAATAATATTGCAGCACCATAGCCTTTATGGACTCAGCTGGCTTATACCCAGATGGCATCAATGACACAATTAATCAAAAAATTGGAATATACCCCTGCAGACAACTGAGACTTAACTGATATTTAGCATCTAAAGAGTTACAGCTTTTGCCTTAAAAACATGAAATAAAAGGACCCCAAATGCTTAACATGTGCTCACAGGAATGACAAACAATTTAACTTTTATGTCCAGAATAATAGTTAAAAAGCTGGAACAAAGAGGATTTTGCTTTCCTTCAACTGCTGGCTTAGCTCAGGTTACATTAACCTGACTTTTTGAGCACTCACTGCTCTACTAAGAGAGTTTTTAATTAGAAGCAATATTGTTCCAACTTAAATATAGAAACCTATTTAGTGGTTTCAATATGTGGATGTTCAAGGCCTATTTGCTTGGAATTACACTGGGATCTTGTGGAACACTGAAAGGGATTATCCCAGGTGTAGTAGTCAAAATAGCAAAGTCACCTTCACTGTTCTCTCTTTCTAATAATGGTTCCTTTTGATTCATTTTTTCTCTTTAGACATATTTATGATGAACTGTTATTTATTTATGTGCTAGATATCAGCTTGTACATCTGATGCACTTATGATGAACTGTTATTTATTTATGTGTTAGACATCAGCTTGTACATCTGATGCATCTCATGGTGTAGCCATGCCCATGTGTTTATGTGAATATATGAAGACATTTGCTGGTCAAAGCAAGGTACTGAAGAAATTTCTTTCAACACAAATAAAAGACAATTTTTTAAATCTCACTTTCTAAAAGTCATGCTGAAGAAAGGTTTTCATTATTGAAAATATGTGATCAGGAGTCAATATAAAATTCTGGGATAATCATGTTACAATAAAAAAGCTCCAGGCTACTCCATGGTCTATGATACAGATCTCAAAATTTCTGTGGCAACAGTCCAAGATTTAAAATTACAGTACAAGATATTTTGAGGGAGGTTGAGTAATTATAGCTGGAGTCAGAAAACTTTCTCAAGTGGATTGCATGTGAGTGCTGGGAGAAACTTGAAACAAAGCAGCAAGGAAAACCATTTGCTTGGAAATACCTTCAAAATCCATGATATTTCTGACTTCCTGATTTACCAGTTGTGTGGATTCTGATGAGAATTAGTTATGGATTTGTGATCTTTATTCAGCACATAATTCAGTCTCCCCAAAGGTAAAAACCTTGATGAACACTTGGAAACAACTGGTGCAGAACATAATTATGTTTTAGCAGATTTCCTTGGGAGGAGCCAGCGACAGAATCATAGAATCAACCGAGTTGGAAGAGACCTCAAAGATCATTGAGCACAACCCTACCGTGGTTACTAGACCATGGCACTAAGTGCCACATCCAGTCTCAGCTTGAGAACCTCCAGGGATGGTGAATCCACCACCTCCCTGGGCAGCTCATTCCAATGCCTGATCACTCTCTCTGTAAAACATTTCTTCCTAATATCCAACCTAAACCTCCCCCGGCAGAGCTTGAGTCTGTGCCCTCTTGTCCTGCTGCTGGTTGCCTGGGAGAAGAGACCAACCCCCACCTGACTCCAACCTCCTGTCAGGGAGCTGTAGAGGGCGATAAGGTCACCCCTGAGCATCCTCTTCTCCAGCTCCCTCAGCCTCTCATAGCACTTGTGCTCCACAAACCCAACTCCCTCAGCCTCTCTCTCATCATGGCACTTGTGCTCAGGTCCCTTCACCAGCCTCGTTATTGCTCTCCTCTGGACCTGCTCCAGCACCTCAATATCCTTCCTGAACCGAGGGGCCCAGAACTGAGCACAGTATTCAAGGTGTAGCCTCACCAGTAACCCCACCAGGAGCACACAAGCTTTCCCCTCATTACAGTATGCAGCCACATTTGTCACCTTGGGCTGCTGAAGCCAAACCCATGCTTTTCTCTTTCAGCACATGAGTGGCCTCCCTCAGCCTTTCACCACACATGATGTGTCAACTCATCAGCCAACCTTGGCACCTCTGCCCTAAAAAATCGATGTATTCACAGAAGAGTGGCTACAATGATCCTCCTAAGCCACAGGCTGAACAGGGAGCCAGAGTTTCTGTAGAAGCATCTACTGCACAGCATAAAACTCTACCTTTTGCTATATGTTAAAGACCTAGATAAGTATCTTATGGAATGTGCTTAAAGTTGCCATATGTATTCTTTTCAGATATGTACTTAAACTCAAGAGGAGATCTCCTTTTCAAAAAGCACATATATATTTAACCACAGCAGAGGCAGCAAAGCTCAGCAACTGCTGTACCTTACAGGCTATATTAATGCTTCATCATTAAAAAGATTACATGCAAGCTCAGAAAGAGGTCTATTATAATAATTGCTTCTGGTCAAAAATGTGACATTTTTGTACCTTAATTAAAGGTTTGATATACAGCAATAATGCTTTACTTTCAAATACTGTCACCAACTTTCACGTATTTTTTAAATTCTACTGTATTTATTTTATAAACTAACACCATAAATTCGTTCAAAATAAAACCAAACATATCTGATACAAAGCAGTAAGGAAGTATTGTTCCACGTGTGGATATGGAAGGAAAATGTAACTCACTCCTGATAAAACCAGTGCTCTGAACACCAACATCAGAACACAGAGTGAAACCAGCCACTCTAACTGGCCCAAAACGCATCTCTTCCAATGTAGTAAACAATTTTCCTAGCAGACAACTAGGAAAAAAGAATGTAAAAATATTTTTAAACTCTCATGCAATTTTGGAACAAGTGCCAAGGAAAAGATGCACTTCTTGTTTACATGAGAATTTCAACAGGTTATTCCTAATGCATGCTAGTGATTTCCCTTTCACACTTAAAAATAAAAGTCAACTATGGACATTATCCAATTTTATCTCCAGGGCTAATTTTAGGTGGCTGAACAACTGACTGCTAAATCACTGTCTATTAAGTAGGTCCGTATAGACAAGAATGACAAGAATACGACAACACTCTGAGTGCCTGAACACAATAAATAGTAGCTCCATGCCATAAAATTATACTCTTTCAACAAGGGTAAAAGGGTGAAGATCAATAAAGGAACCACTTTATTTCTCAATTTGCAGCTTTAACAGTTAAATAAGAATAGGAAAAGCAGGTGCTGCAATTATTGCACACCATCCACAATATTCACTGTATTTTTCTTTTGCAGAAACTTCTATTATTGGACAAGAAATAAATACTGTTCAGGGTAAAATGTTTTTTGGATAATAAAAGCAAATAACACAAGCTTCTACTTATTATCTCTACTTCTGACGTGAATTTCAACTTTTTGCCAAGCCCTGATCTCTCCCCAATGTCACCCAGTAATTATTTTGTAAGCACAAACTATGACAGCTGATACTGAGAAGCATGAAGTAAAGGCAGAAGTGACAGAGCACAATGAGAGACACTATGTATAATAAAGGAAAAGATCTACAGCAAAATTTCCCATCCCAGTGGTTATCCTCAGAGGCTTGAGGACCTTTCCTGGCTTCTCCTCATGGATGCTCAGCCAGCAGTAATGAAATACTCCAACAGGATCAGCAGAAGCTGTCACAGTCCCATGCTCACAACCACCCTTCACTCCCCACTTAGTTTAAATATTTACCTACAATTCTAAAAGTCTACAAACTACTCCCAAGATACCTACAATTCTAAAAGTCTACAAACTCTCTTGATCTGTCACTTCCTCCACTGCTCTATCATATATAGACTGCATACATTTTAAGGAAGAGGGATTATGGAGCTATTTACCTGACATAGCAATAGTCCCTATATCAGGTGATGCATAACGTATGCCACACTCTCATCAATCCCTTCTTTTAAATTGAGGATTGAGAGGAAACTACTATAGCTACCTTTAAAGAGCAATGAAACCTCTAAAAATTGCACTGATATTTAACTCAGCTAGATAATATACTACAACAAAGAAAATTATTCTAAGTGAAGTACTTTGATCAGAAAAGAAAATGATAACTGAAACCAGTCAGAAATACATGATCAGTATGTAACACTATAAAGTTAGGCAGGATATGAAATTCTTTCTTGACCATTTCTCTCTAACCTATTTTTTGCCAGTAGACAGACTTTGGATGTGAGATAATTCTCTTTTTAAACTCTTAGGTATTACTAACATTTTTGAAAGGTATAATATTGATTCTCACTGCGTGAAGGTCCTGTGTAAGGACTCCTCAATGAAATAAGTACAGATTCCTTCACATTCTGCAGTCCTTCTCAAAATTAGTGTCAAAGCAAATCAGGTATTTACTATAGTCATACAATAGATTATACAGAAGATAGAGCTGGTACATACTCTTTATATTTATTCGTGGGCTGTGAATTGTTAAAATAAGCTCAGTGCACCAATGCTGACTGCCTTACAAACAAAAAAGTCACTTCAAACCACCACCATTACTCCAAGCCAGCAATTCT